TAAACTTTGGCCATCTTCTGCCCATCCCAGTGGAACTGTGCATTCCTCTCTTATATTGGCAATTTAATATCATGGAGGTAATGACAATCGATGAATGAAGGGGATTAATTTCAAGGTGGGTTGGTTAAATTTCAGAACAAGATTGGGATTGGGATTGGGAAACTAATTTGGGAGTAGGTAGGAATTCTTCTGGTTTTAGCCTTGGTTTGTTTTCGGACCTGTGCTGCGCCAGATTTTTGCATCTTCATGTTGGTGCAGATTTTTAGGAGTATGCGTATGAGATAAAATGTAATGTAAGCCACACTGCAGAATTAAAGCAGTTTAACACCACTTTAGCTGCCATGACTCTATCCTACAGATTACTGGGATTGGTAGTTTGGCGAGGCACTGGAACTCTCTGACAGACCAGGCTGAAGATCTCCCCAAACTACCGATCCCAGGATTGTGCAGAATAGAGTCGTGGCAGTTAAAGCGGTGTCAAACTGCTTCAGTTCTGCAGTGTGGATGCACCCCAGGTCTTATGTGCTATATGACGTTAGTGCAGTTTCCACACCTGTTTGCAGGGCATTGCAAATTGCATTGTAAAAGAGGAACTAGCTCTGCTTTTGGATAAAAAAGAAAAAGGAAGGAAATATATATATATATATATATATATATATATATTCACTTTGAAAATAGCACTGCTTTAGGATGATCTTGGACTGCGTGCGGATTATTTGAAGACTGGGCTTTATTTGGTTTGCTTTGGCAGGGAAATTAATTAGCCGGCTTTTCTGTGACATTTCAGTAAATATGAGTAATTATTTCTCTATTTGCATATAGAGCTTTCCATGTGCTATCTTATTCCATTTCTTTCTCTTTTTTTAAAAAAATGGATTTGAAAATGATTCTGTCGACGTTTTAATTGCAGTTTAATTTTTCTCCCTTTGTAGTGATGGGGGCTTTTATCCAATTTTGATTTTTTTTTTAAAGCTGCCTCAAGTCTAAGGTCTAGGTAAATGGCAAGATTTAGCCTATTTAAGTTTTATGCAACTTTTGTCCCTTGTGCCCAGGTTACAAATCTTTTAAGAGTTTAGCAACTTCCATCTTTTGTTGTTGTCACTGTTGTTGCTGTTATGTGTTGTCTAGTCATCTTTAGATTTAGGGCAGCCCTATGGATTATTATTACAGTCAGTCCTTTGTATCCATGGATTCTTTATCTATAGATTCAAGCTTTCAAGGCTTGA